AATGGAAGTAGAAGAGAACAATCACAGATTTAGGTAGGACCATAGCATTAAGAAAAATCTTTCTGTTCAGTATGTTTTGCAAAAGACCATAATACATTTCTTCTGACAGTAGAGCATTTTCCTCTGCTCTCAGCAAGCTCAGCCAAAATTTAGCTAATATTAAACATCAGGCAGTGTTATAGTCCCAGACATTTTAATTAATAACTTACTTGTTCCTAATAATTTGTCTGAAAGTGAACAGAGCTCATTTTTAAAGGAGCCAAGATTATCATGTGTGAGAAGAAATAGAATTCCTCATTCAAGAAGAAATAGTAGGTCACCATAAATAATATGTGCACACTTACTGTAAATAATTTTGGTGACAGAAGGTGCTGCCATGCAGTCTGATTAACATTACCAATGAAGCATAGCCAATTTTGATAAGTTTGTATGACAGATTGCTGTTATTAGTCAACATTAGGATGTTTAATGTAGTTGCATAGGCCTCTCAGCTCCCAAAATTCCTGTTTTGTATTCTCAGAAAAGTATCTCTGTAAAAAAATTAAATTGACATAAGAAATGGAGACGAGGATTTTATTCACTTGCATACTGCAAAGTTCAACTTCAAGCCACATCTTTTGTAACTCATCTTGAAAATCAAATTCTTGTGCTGTACTCTGAGTGCCTGCCAGGGTCTGCAATCAGGACTAAACCAACACCTATGCTCTGCATGATGCAACATAGAACTGAGCCCTTCTCCTGCTGAGCTGGAATGACTAAGAGCAAGATCTCCTTTTGCTTCAGGAATATATTCCATTTTCTCCAAGTTTCTTAGCTAACAAAGTAGAGTTTCTTTGTGTACAGATCATTGCAAAGAGGGCACAGTAATTTTGATCCCATTCTGCTGCTGGTCTTATGCCAACACTGATGTAAGGAGCAGGTTCTAGTCTGGGAGACATGAGGCATCCGTGCTCTTTGAAAGACCTGCTTAGACTTGACGGCCAAAAAGCTACAATTCAAGGAATTCAGCTGCTTCTTTCTGAAGACATGGAAGATTAGAAACAGTGTATATAAATAAAGAATTTGTGAGTCAATAAGCATACAATAGCTACATGCACAGGAAGGCATTGCTGTGCAGACTTTTCTAGGCCTGGCAAAGCAGGGGACATAACCAAGAAAGTCAAAAGGCAGTATGAGATCTGAACACTACAGCTGGATTTGCTACCAAGAATTGCATCATTCCACATTCATCTTCTACTTAATTTTTCATGTATCTCACCTGCTTTGAATAAATAATGAATTATTGCCTCAGATAATTATTTTTACATATCACATTCCTCTCAATGAGAGTCCTGCAAGTGCTCCCAATCACTGTAGAGGCCTTCTCTGAGAAGGCTGATATACTGTCTGCTTCTCTTACACAAATTGCTTTCCTTTCAAGGTCACAAACCTAGTAGCCATTTAATGCTGAACCCCTTATTGCCCTGGAAATCTCCAGTGACTAAGACAGAAATAAATGATCTGAGTGGATATTCTGCCACACCACCCAGCTCTTGATCTTTCCTCCTCTGTTCCAAATACTCAGTAATTTGATTCTCCTCATTTTAACTCACTAACCACCTTCCCAGATTTCTATCTCGGAAAAGAAAAAAAGACAGTATAAACTAAAATTTGTTAGGAAAGTAGCAATTTATGTAATTCTTCCTAATGAGGGTCTTTCCCTATTCACTAGCAGCTCATTTCTGTTTCTCATAATTTACTTTTGCTATAGATGGTTAATGAGATGATTGGCTCTTGCAATTAAAAGATAACTATTGTGTGAATATTAAGAAAAGCTTTAGTGATGTCATATATAATAGTTATATTTTATATATATTATTTATATAATAGTTATATATATATATATATATATATATATATATATATATAGTTATGTTATTGTAATTTAGATGTCCTCTCTTCTCCCCATAGTTCCCTTTCCCCCCAGTATTGTTGCCATCAGACAGCTGGGTTGCCCAGGACAGGTAGAGAGAAGGCTGCACAGGTGTCCCTTACCTGGGACAGGTGGGAATGGAAAAGCTTGGTGCTTAGGGGGTGCAGCATGGCAATGCCTGATCTCCAATCCACTTACAAGCAAGCAGTCTCCACTGATAAATGGCAAAGAAGAGCTGACTGACAGACTCTGGGAGGGGCCAGGGCTGGCTGATGCAGCCCCAGGGGTATAAAAGTCTGAGCATCCATCTTGAAGATGAACCAACCATGTGGTATCACACGGGCAGTTCCCAGTGCTGCAGCTTTTTCCTTATGCAGTCCTTTGCTGTATTTTTGTTAAGGCTTAATAAAACTCTTTCAATTTTCAAAGTGAGCAGTTGTTTCTCACAGTTTCTCCGCCTAAATCTTTTGGTCACAGGCTGCTGCATACAGGATCCAATGGCAGTACCTCAGCACCCCAGCCAGGCTGTAGAAAAGGCCAGCCCCTCTGTCAACAACTGCACTCCAAAGCATCCTTTCTTCCTACAATTTTTACACAAATATAACCTGAAAGTCAGAGTTGGCCTTACTCAAAGGGCAAAAGAGCAAAGTTTGATTTTCATTCAAAACAAACCAGGAGAAAAGAGGAAAGAAACTTTGTTACTAAGTAACAATTCCTTCCCAGGAGGCCTCACAGAAAAATGCAACTGTCATCCTCCTTTAGATTTTCATGTCCCTGTACTGAAACAAAACACAAACTCAGCTAAAAGTTCCTCACAACTGTCTTGTAGCTGTGCTTTCAGTTGCTGATGCTTTATGAGCTTTAAAAGAATACAACCAATGCTGTGTTTTTTAATGCAAAATGAAACCTGGAATCTAATTTAAGATATTGACATGAAATTATAATTATAATTAAAACATTATTGCAATGACATCCATTCTCTGCCCTGGCTTCCAGCTGAAAGCTGTCCTTCCAGCTGCCTTTCTGAATTTCCCATGTTGGTGCCTCTTGGCCCAACAAGCAACTGGGATAACCTGGTTTCCCAGATTGCTCTGTCTCTGACAGCAGGAAAGTCACCCATCCTCACAATTAGCTCTGAAACAAGACCATGCTTTTTTGACACTTGGGAGATGCCTCCAACCTCTGGCTTGACTTAAGAAGAGACAGCTGGATGGAGCAGACTGAGACAGATGCTGATTAGCCCCATACTGAACCTGTACATGCCAGTGCAAGGCAGAGGGGAACTCCACATGAGCCCTTAGGATGTCCTTTACTCAGCTAGTCCAGTGACTCTGAAACAACATCAATGTGTGAATTGAATCTTAAGGAGCACTCAATGAGGCAAACAAATGGTAACAATACAGGGAAAGCAGAGTGCCTGACCAGTCCTTGTGAACCTCCTCACAAGCAGTCTTATGCTCGAAGCCAGAGCCTTCACCTGTATGAGTGAGGAAGAGAAGCAGGAATTAAACCTAAACATGGGGCTTTCAGGCACTGTGACACCACAAATGATTACAAAAACATCAAATATTTCACTCCTAAAGTGCAGGATGCAGAGTGAAATCAATAAAGCAGAAGGGATGAGGGAAACGAAGTATTCAGAAACGCATGGACATGGATCAGTGAGTTAATAAATTGGCCTTGGAATGTTGGGCAAAGGTTTTTTGCAAGGCATCTCTGATAAACCAAAATGCTAGTGAGAATCTGCACTATGCCATTTCCATTAACTGCGCCTAATCCCTATACTAACAGCCATCCCTTCCTCTGTTACTGATTTTTCTTGGGCCATCCTTCTGCTGTACAGAGATGCAAAATAGTACTGACAAGATTAAACCAAGCACCTGCTTTTAGGTAAGCTATTAGTAACACTCAAGGGAGGCAGGGGGCAGGGAGCACAAACACTGTCTGATTGTAGTACAACAGTAGCTTTTCTTCTCAGTAGTTCACTTACAGAGATGGCTTTTCCAGATGAAAAATTAGACACAGCAGATTTTATTACTTTCCATAATACAGAGTGATAAAGACAACTATTGGGATAATTACATTATGCTATAATTACATATAGTAACCAATTGTCAAGGGCATGGCAATGCTCTGGAAATACATTGAATTCTAAACACTTTGTGTATTTCTCAGGCAGCTGTTAAGGGTTTTTTCCTTTATTGATAATTCCAAGCCTTTGAGTTATCAGCACAAGACAAGTGAAACCCAAGGACACAAGCAGTGATGCCTCCATGACAGCTCAGTGGAGAATTGTTCCAGGGACCTTTGTGTCATTATCAGGGTAGGAAGCACCCAGGTCATGCTGCAGGGGCAATTCAGGTCAATCAGGATAAAGACATCCCAGGGGACACCTCATCAGGGTGGCCTCAAAGTTGGAAAGGAAGCCTGTGCTGGCAGCAGAAGAGGAGTCAGGAGGAAAGACAAAACATCATAGTGTCTTTGAGGGAATTTAGCCAGGAGCACTGCAACCTGCAATTCAACCAGAAACCAGATACATCAGACTGACTTGGTTCTGGAACCAGCATGGCAAGGAAACTTTTTATTTGATTGGGTAGAAATAAAAAGAAACAAAAGGGAAAAATCAGTATTTCTGTCATTGTCTTTCTTATCCTCCTGATCACACTTTAGGCAAGTCCTGCCTTAATTAAGGGAAACTAATTCCCTCTTTTTGCACTGTGTTTCTACAGTGAAGAAAAGTTACCATCATTTATAAAAAGCATTAAAATATCCCTCACAACTACAGACTTGTAACCCACTCCATAACCACAGACTGGATGTTTGATGTGGAAGCTGCTTGATATAGAAGGACACAAGAGAGCAGATAAAAATCTGCATCTGTTTACACCAAAGATGCATCTCCACTTAATTCTGAGTACAGTCTCCTCAGGATACTTATCTAGAATAATCAGATTAACGTATCTGTGGACTGTCCTGTATGATGGATTGTCTGAATTTCTTACCTAACATTTGCATGAAATGTAGTGGCTGGTTTGTCTGGAGGTCAAACAGGAGATTTGATCTGAAATTTTGTTTGTACTTTTTGTAGTTCAAAGGCCCAACTGTTAGAAGTTCCTCTGAAAAGAGCACATTCACTGTAATAATTGCTCACCTGG